GGCCCAGGCCTGCGCGGGGGGCGCGCCGGGCCCCTGCAGGTCGTGTGTCAGCTTGTGCCGCTCCAGCAGCGCAGGGGCGTTGAAGTCGCGCTCGCAGCGCGGGCACTTGAAAGGCTTCACGTCGGTGTGCGCGGCCCAATGGGCCGCCAGCTCGCGGCCGTGGTCGAAGCGCCTGGCACAGGCGCCGCACGCGAACGGGGGCAGTGAGGCTGCCGCTGCGGCTGCCGCCTCCGCCAGCCCCCAGCTGCCTGGGCCCCCGCCTGCCCCCTCTGGGCCCTCTCCGCCGCCGGCCCCCGAGCCCCCGCACACCGAGCAGGGCCCCACGTTGCAGCAGACCGAGCAGGGTGCGCTCAGGGCCGGCAGCCCTGGGCCGGGCTGCAGCGGGGACGGGAGCACCCCACGGTGCTGGCGCTTGAGGTGGCGGCCCAGGCTGGAGCGTGAGGAGAAGCGGAGCTCGCAGACCAGGCAGCAGTAGGGCTTCTCACCAGTGTGGACGACCTGGGGGGGCGGGAGGGAGAACACATCAGGGCTAAGGGTCTAGCCCACAGGACAGATTCCTGGACTCTCAGAGGGATGCAGCCCACGCTCCCTGCCACGCCTACAAGGCCAAGATCTAGCTTCAACTCTCTCACTCTCGTTCTCTGCTTTGGGCCACGCTAACATGCTTTTAGTCCCTCCAGCCTCAGGACCTGTGCACGTGCTGTTCCCTCAGACTGGGAAAACTCTTCCTTCTGCTCTTCCTAACTCCTACTCATTTTCAACAAGCCCACCTAGGAGATTGGGACTCCCTGGGGAGGTGGCTAAGTACTAGGGCTCTGAGCACTGACAGACCTGGGTTCAAACCCCATCTCGGCCTTCTACTCTCCGTGAAAACTTGGACAAGTAACTGCATCTCTGGGACTCTGCTTTTCTCCTCTGTACAATGGGCGCAAGGCGTGTCATCACACAGGGTTGCCAAGAGGATAGGGTAAAATCATCACAAATAACTACAGAATTCCTAGAAACTAGAATTATTATTGATAAACTTTCCCATGTCCCACAGATGTCCTCTAAACCAGTGGCTATTTGGGGGGAGGTGGAGAGGGTCTTTCATAATCCTCTAGGGTAAGAGGTGGCTTTTCGAGGTAAATGTCCAACCTTCTAGAGCAAAACTGTCCAACAGGACTTTCTGCAATGATGGAAATGTTCTATATCTGTCCTGTCCAAAATGGCAGCCACTAGCCACATGTGGCTATTGAGCACTTGAAATGTGGCTAGTGAGTCCGTGCCTTACAGATATTGGCTGTTGTGGTTTATTTTTTAAGAGTCCCGAATAGCAGAGACAGGTGGTGAATGCAGAGTCCTACTGACTGGTAGTGTCTGTCTGGGGATCTGTGGGCAGAACTCTGAGGCTGCACGTGAAGGAGTGTAGTGATTGATTAGTCATGTCTACCAGGGGCATGGATTTGGAGAAGGGACTGGGAGTGCTACCCGTTTGCCACTCTGACTCTAGACGTGGTGATGCGACAGGAGTACCCTGTGGGTGTGGTGAACACTATCTTGTTGCTGAATTTCTTCTCTCTCCACTCTGACTTTCCAACACAACAAGGCTGTCCTGGCCTCAGAACCTTTGTATGTGCTGTTTTCTCTGCCTGGAATGCTCTTTCCAATGACAGGCTCCTCCCTTGTTCTGTAAGTCTCAGTTTATCTGCCACCTCCTTGGAAATCCTTCCCTGAATGTAGGCCCCTGGCTTGCCATGTTATTCTCTCATTGCACCCAACCTCTCTCTTCAGAGCTTATGGCTCATATCACACTCAGCATCTACATCTAGCTTGGGTGTCGTCTGTCTCCCCATCAGGTAAAGGTGGCGAAAACAGGGACCATATTGGATTTACTCACTGCTGTACATCCAGAGTCTGGCACAGAGTAGGTGCCACAAGCCCAGCAGAATCTCCAGCTTTCTCCCGCGCCCCTGGGGCTCTGTGCGCCAGCCACACTGGCCTTCCTCCAGTTCCTCAAAAGCCTGCCTTGCTTCCTTGAGAGTGCTGGTCCTTTTCCCAGAGGCTGGAAAGCCCTTTTCCACCACCACCATGCCGCTGCCTGGTTACTACTTCTCATGCTTCAGAGGCAGCCCATTCATCACCTCTTTCTCCAGAAAACCGTCCCTGGCCCCGTCCCTGACCCAGACACTTCAGATCTCTCTTGTATTAGCCTCAGAATACAGTGACCCTCTGCCCTCACATGTCTCAATTGCAATTTGACATTTATTAACCTGGTTGTTCCATTAATGTCTCCCTCACCAGACTCCTGGCTCTGGGAGGCCATGGGGACTGTGTCGGTCTGTCTCTTCCCTTTTTTCCCAAAGAGCCTGGCACTGTGCCTACAAACTCTAGGTGCTCATTAAATGCTCAGTTGAATTATAACCTACCACTGGGCAGGGGTGAGACCTCAGAGGGCTGTGTATGTCACATCAAGTTAAGAAGCTTCCCCATCATCCTAAGGATCAGGGGTTTTAAGGGGGGGGGTGGTCCTGGTCACTCTGTGACATTCGCAGAGGCTGGACGTGACAGGGAGAGACAGGAGGCAGGAAGATCACTTAGAAATTTGGGGCCAACATCCAGGATGTGAGGTCCTGAATCAAGGCAGACACCATGAGGACAGGGAGAAGGGGACAAGTGTGAAAGACCAGTGACACATCTGGTTTTACTTACCCTCGAGGCATGACTATCTGGCACCCAGAATAATATCCCAACTCTTTACAACAGCAGAGAAAGTTGTACGTGACTCAGCCCCCGGCTGCCTTGCACCTCACCTCCTTCCACTCTGCCCAGCCTCGCTCCACCCCAACCACACGGTCTCCCATCACTTCCTCGAACACACTGAGCTCCTTCCCACCTCAGGGCCTTTGCACCTGCTGTTCCCTCTGCCTGGAATGCTGTTCCCATGCCAGACTCCTGCTCGTACTTCAGGTCTCAGCTCAAACATCACCCTGCCCTGACTTTCCCCACCTTGTCCAGTAGCTCACAGCTCTCTCCTCTTTACTCTTGACATCGACTTTTTATTTTTGCTTTTAATTTCCTTCCCAACACTTCTCCCTTTCCAGAACATTCTGCTTGTGCCTTTGCTTTCTTGTTGGTCATCTACCTGGCTACTGACCACCTCCAACGGAATGTCAGTTCTCCGAAGGCAGAGACTGTACTGGTTTCACCTTGGTGACCAGGTGTTGGGAGCAGGGAAGCATTCAGTAGATAATCACTGAATGAAGGAATTAAGTACATACATGGTAAATCTATTTTTAAAAACGGTAAGGGAATGATAAACACAAAATTGCAGATGCTGGCATGCGTGGGGGTATGAGCAGGGGAGGGGAGTGGGGAGGAGCTATAGGTGCGGAAGTTTACCATAAACGGTTCACTGTGTGGGTTGGGTGGTGACTGGAGGAGAAATGCTCATGTTTTGACGCGCCAGGGTGCTTTGGCAGGAAGGGAGGGAAGGAGAGAAAAATTTTCCAAGGGGAGGAGGTGGGGGCGGGGGCCTTGGGTCAGCGGTGTGTTGCCCAGAGCCCCGGGCGCGCGCGGCGCGCGGCCAGCCTGCGGGACTCACCTGGTGGTGCAGCAGGCCGGTGGAGTCGCGGAACCCCTTGGGGCAGGCGGAGCAGCGGTAGGGCCGCTCGCCGGTGTGCGAGCGCAGGTGGTTGGCCAGGTTGAAGCTGTGCTTGAAGCCCTTGCCGCAGCGCGGACACGCGTGGGGTTTGAGCGCAGTGTGCCGGGCGAAGTGGCGCCGCAGGTCCGAGCGGTAGCGGAAGCTCTTGCCGCACTCGCTGCAGTGAAACGGGACGCGGGGGGCGGCAGCGGGCGGTGCTGGGGCCGGGGCCGGGGCCGGGGCGGGGACCGGGGGCGCCGGCAGCGGGGCGTCATCCATGGTGGCGTGGCGCGAGGGCAGTGGCGGGGGGGGGGTCTCTCTGGAGCAGGGGGAGACGAAGGGGGGGTGAGGGGGTCACCTCCCCATCAGCCCTCCCCCATCAGGCTCCTTGGACTCACAGACCCGAAACCTGTTCCCTGGGAGCCCGGCCCACTGCCCTCCAAGCCACGCCCACTGCTCCTTAAGCCCCCCCCACTCTCCTACAAACCCTTCTCCCGCTCATCTGCCAATCGTCCTAATCACTGCCAAGTTGCTTCTATGCCACTGTTTTTAAGCGTGTCCTCCTCTTTTTGAAAGGACCACTGCTCCTCTCAAAGCCCCGCCTTCTGGGGTTAAGCCCCGCCCACTGTGGTCAAGCCCCACCTACTCTTGTTCAGGTCCCTCCTACTCCTTCCAAAGTCCCCACACTGTTCCCAGAGCCTCTTGTATTCCTTGACAAATCCCTTCCCTTCCACAAGCCCCTCCCACTCTCCTACAACCCCTTCTCCCACTCATCTGCCAATCCACCTAATCCCTGCCAAGTCGCTTGTATGCCACTGAGTGTTTTTAAGCCTCTCTCCCTCTTTTCGAAAGGACCACTGCTCTTCTCCAAACCCCACCCACTGTAGTTAAGCCCCACCCACTCTTGTTCAGGTCCCGCCCACTCCTTCCAAAGTCCCCACACTGTTCCCAGAGGCTCTTGTATTCCCTAACAAGCCCCTTCCCTTCCGCAAGCCCCTCTCACTCTTCTTTGAAGACGAAAGCCACCGTCAGAAGAAGATTCACATGCTTAGCGAATGAGAGGACAAAGATCTGGGGCTAAGCGCACTTGAGTCAACCTTCCAGGGCGACCAGAACTAGTCCTGGAACCTCGGGTAAAACCAACTGAACCTTTCTGTCTGCAAAATAGGGATAATGGGAATACCTACTCAGGGAGTGGTGGTGAGGACTAAGCAAAATGTAGCAATGTGTGCTGAGTGCTTACATAGGCGGGCGCACAGCAAGGACTCAACAGGTACACTGTTTAGATTACTGCTATCCACTAAGTTCCTCCGAGATTCCTCTTTAAGTCCTACCATCTCCTCACTAAGATCTGCCCCCAAAACTCCACTCAACTTTTCCTTTAAACCCAGCCTCTAAGCCCCGTCCTTGCCAAGACCCCCTCCATTCAACTCCTCTCACTGTCTCAGCCCCTCTGAGTCCCGCCCCATTTCGTCTAAGACATTTCACCTGCATTGTAAAGACTTGATATTTCCACCAAAACTTCCCAAATTACACGCCTAACCGACTCCCTCATTATGCCCACCACTTTCTCTAAGCCACACCTCCAGACAAACCCCACCCCTTCTACTCTAAGCTCCTCCCACGTTCACCCTGAGCTCTGTTTCCCCACTCAGCCCCAATTAAGACTCTTCAACCAAGGGCCCGCCTACCATCCTTTTAGTCACGCCCCCTCATCAAACCCCACCCCTTTGCCTAAGCCCCTCCCACTTTCTACCCACAACCTCGCTCCCTCTACCAAGCCCCGCCCACTTCCACTCTAAGCCACGCCCGCTCAGGCTCCTCCCAGCCGTTGCTCCGCCCCAGCAGTCACTAAGCCCCGCCTCCTCCCCACCCCATCGCCTGCGGGTCTGGCCCCCCCCTTCCCCAGTCTGCTCGAGAACCCAGGCCCCGCGAGCCGGCCTTTTGTGCCCCTCCCTCCTGTCCCTAAAAGGTGCGGCCCCGGGCACCCGGGGCGGGGGCAGGTCAGGCGGGACCCGCGGCCGGGCGAGTCCACCTCGCTCGTACGGAGCGGGGGTTCTGGAGCCCTGGGGCGGCCCCGGGAGGCCGGGAAAGTCAGTCGGCTTTCCTCTTTAATTACTTACACCTCCCTCTGGGCGCCGACATTTTGGGCAGCGGGGGCAGCGTCACTTCCACCCGGGGGGCCCCTCGACTTCCGCCTTGGCTCCCTTCTCCCCCGCACTCCACCTTTCTCCCGCCCTCTTGGCTTCCCCCTCCCCGCCGCCCGCCCTTCTCCCTCTTTCCCGTCCCTTTCCCAGCACTGGGGTTATAGAAGCCAGGTTGGTGCCATCTTGGGTGAGGGCAGGGAGAAGGGGCGGGACTTAGGGTGACCCTCGGCGCCATACAGACTAAGGGCAATAGGCTCTGCGCGAGGCTCCTCCCCGCCGTGTCATCGTTGGCGGATGACAACGCAGATAAGGACAGATTAAATTCCTTTTTCGCAGCCTCAGACTCCTCTTGAGTAGGATGTAGAGTTGCATTAGGAGAAAAGAGAAATCGAAGTTCGCCGACTGCGATACAGAGATAGGAGGAAAAACCAGGCTCCATCTTGTGCTTAGCCGTCCACTGGGCTTTGAAGCCTGTCAGGCGCCATGTTAATTACGGGAACGAGCAGCCATTTTCCCGCTCCTCATCCTTTCGGTACCTGTCTTTGATTGGGTCACCGGCTGGGTGCTTTATGGGAGGAAAGACATTTCTACGTGGCTGGGGATGTGCCGGTGGGGTTATTTCCCGCAAGGGGCCAGCAAGGGCGACGGGTGCGCAGGCGCGGTTTGCAGGCGCGGACGTGACCGGGCCTTAGGACCCAGCGCGTCCCCTTTGTTCCCCGCGGGCGCGGGCCCGACGGGGAAGGGGAGGGGGAGGGCGGGGCCGCCGGGCG